TTTAAAAATTTTTTTGTACCTTATAATATAGAAAAGATTTTCCAAAAAGTCCCGAAATGGGCCTGATGTGTTAAATGAGTTTTAAAATATTTTCAAAAAGGGTAACTGCTCCAGTCGTTGGCACTGCGCTAGTGGTTGGCACCCCTCTTAGGTTTTCTTTAAATAACAAGATATAGCAAAAATCTAGCATGTTTTGCATATGATTATTAGAATTTCCAACATTTTTTACAAAAATCTAATATATAACTTATTAGAAGTAATTACTTAATTGCATTAAAAAAAATAAAATTAATATCATTCTCAAACTGTTAGGAAATTTTCGGTTTTTCTAAAGAAAATCTTAAGAAAACTGAAATTTTTAAACTTAATTTATTATTATTAGAAGTGGGTAAATTTGCTTTTTTCTTTGCAAATATTTTAGTAGAATATATAAATATTGATTAGTTTAACACATCTTGTCTTAAAAATTATTAATTTATTTATTTCAATGGGGTGCCAATGAAAATATTAAAAAAAGCAACTGTTCCAGTCGTTGGCACACACATGTCAACGACTGGACAAGCCGTATTTTTAACCAAGCTCCAGTCGTTGACATCCCTCATTTCGCAATGAAAAGTAAGGTTATGTAACAATGTTTACCGTCTAGTCAATAATTTCAGTCTCTTTGAAAAATGATATATACATGTATTATTGAATTATATATAAGTACATTTTCTTGTATTTGTTTATTACTTAAAATTATAATGAATTATTCTTGATTAATTAGAAAATAAAAAAATTTTAATTTGCTTGTTTGAAACATAAGAAATTTAAAGGTTATGTATGGGTGCCAACCACTGGAAACTGGTGGGTGCCAACGACTAGTGCTTGCAGTGCCAACGACTGGAAATTGGTGTCATTATATATCATTATTAATTAATTTAAAAGTTTCAGTTTATTTTTATTCAAAATTGATAATTTTATCGTATTCTGTATTAAATTCTGAATACATATATTACTATAAGTATTACATAATATTAGTTTTTATCTATTAAAATAATTCTTAAAGTCAAAATTTGGCCTTAAGGGTGCCAACGACTGGAGCAGTTACCCAATCACTTGCAAGCATCACAGTGGGATTTTTTTTACATTTAACTTTTTAAAACTGTTTAGAGCGTAGACCCTTTCATTTAAAACAAAGAACACTCAAATATATTAAAAATTATACCTTGTAGACACTTTTAGAAAGTTAATTGTAAAAAAAATCCCACTGTGATGCTTGCAAGTGATTTTTGAAAATATTTTAAAACTCATTTAACACATCAGGCCCATTTCGGGACTTTTTGGAAAATCTTCTCTATATTATAAGGTACAAAAAAATTTTAAAAAAATAAAAAAAAATCCGGCCCAAAGTTAAAAAAAATTAATTTGTTTATAAAAAAAATTAATTTTTTATTAAAAAATTTTAAAAAAAAATTTTTTGTTTACATTTTTTAAAAGTCGAAAGAAAACTAAAACTTTCATTCTTTGACAACTTTTTCCTAAACTCAATATTTTCGGACTTATAAGCTACTGAATATAGGTCTACAATTAAAAGTCCAAATTTTCGAAAATCCATAACTCGAAAATTTGGACAATTAAACAAAAATAAAAAAATACGTATCTGTTTTTTTTCGATACAGAATAGAAAAAAAATATTTTTGGCCGATTTTAAGAGGTCGACTTAAATCTCACGTGGAATTGCCCATATGTTCAATATAAAGGGTACAATAAAAGTATCAATAAAACTGAAATTTGACATCAGCGGGCACTGGGACATAGAAAGTCCTTAAGACGCCATTAGAGCAAAATATGATTTATGAATCAAAATTTTCTTATTTTTGAATTCTAGAAATGTTTTAAAAATGACTTTGAAAATAAATAATGCGTTCAAATTCCTATTTATGAATTAAAATTTTGCTTCTTGAATTTTGAGAAATGTTTGGGGTATGTTGTTGGTTTCCAAAATTCGATCTGGCCATTAAGCAAAAACGGGCAAAATGTAAAATCCCATGTGGAATTTTTTAATAGGGATATGGAAAAATTATACCTACTTGAAAAATAAAAATAGATTTTACACGGGATTTTTTCTTAAAGAAATATAGGCTTTTGGGGTTTATTTAAGGTATATTTATCACTTAAAATCGTGTCGCAATTTCTCATACGGTTTTGCATGGGAATCCATATGGCTTCCTTTATGAAAGTGGATCCCATGTAGATTCTCATGTGGAAATCGAAAACGTGTTATGGTTTCTACTTATACATTTAACAGAGTGTCTATCAACCGCGAAGGAAAACCAAGAAATATCCGGGAATTTAATCATGGTTGCCACAAAATCTAGATTTCAAAATTCCAGGCTTTTTCCAGGTTTTCCAGGTTAAAAATATTAAAAATTCCAGGTTCAAATTTAGGAATTATTTGTGATGAAAAAACAAGTATTTTACAAAACAGTGTTAACAATATTCATTATTATGTAGTTATAAATTAATGTTCTCTTAAACAGTTAAAATCACAGGCATTTTTATGTTTATTTTTCTGAAAGTGATACTTTTGATATTCGATTTTTCAATTTATTTTTTTTTAAATTATATGGGTTTTTCTATTGAAACTACTTTATTTTATACTCAAAAGTAAGAATTTAAATTGCGCAAAATTAATTTGAATATATTAAAGTCTTTCTTCTTTGAATTTTACTCGGGCCAATATGTAAAATTTAAATATTTATAAAAGCAATAATATTCCTCTTTTTTATAAATATTATATAGAAAAATTAAACATCAGACCATTAACTTTATTTTAATGTGCATTCACATTTTTTTTATAATATTTTTAATGTATAAAAACATCATTAATCATCGTGAAGTAATTTTAACTTAAACTGAAGACAAAATTTAAACATTTTTATCACATATAAAACGGAGGTTCAAAAATTTTTAAAATGCACATAATGATAGAAAAACATTGTATTTTTTGGCACTATTTTAAAAAAAACCATAAAAATTGAGTTCTCTTATAAATAATAAATTATAAATTTTTACTATGAAAATGGTTAATAATATTACTAGAGAGTAGATTCTATAAAATTAATCGAGATATCAAAAATGTAACTTTCAGAAGAATCAGTCATAATTAGAACATTTAAGTCATGTTTAAATTAAATAATTTTTATCTTTAAACTTTGTTCAAAATCTTGAACAAAAAGCAACTAGTAACAAAAAATTTTGACAATCGTAATACTAATAAAGATAAAAAATCCTTTTTTTAGAACAATCTTAACAACATTTTTCACAGTTTTAGTCAATAATTAAAAAAAAATTAAATTAATTTAAAGAGAAGATAACATGGAAAAGGAAAATTGCATGTTAACATTTTTAAAGAAAAATAACATGTTGAATGGAATTTTTCTTAATATCTTTCATTAACCCAAAAAAATTCCAGAAATTCGTTCAAATTCCATGCTATTTCCAGGTTTTCCATACCCTTTTTCAATTTCCATGCTATTTCCAGGTTTTCCAGGTTGTGTGGCAACCATGTTAATTCGACCAGGAAAAATCGGGAATTTTCTTATCTAATTAAAAAAAGTTTTATTATATTAATTCGTTTTTAAAAAATTGCTTTTTGCATTAATTTTTATTTAAGTAATATTTTTATTTATAAAAATTTAAGCCCTACATTCAGCCTACAATATAGGTCTTATTTTAGATTTTAGCAGTCGTAACGTAGGGTCTACTTGCGACACAATTAGTTCGAATTAGACTCTACATAACTCCAAAAGCTGGTGGAAAATTAGGATTAATTTTTAATACATTAATTGAAATACTACAAATTGACAAATACTGTTCTGTAAATCTGAATTAGTTAAAAATAGTATTTCATAGGAAAAGTCATTTACTGACTCAAATAGTCTTAATATTTTCCTAATGAAATAGTTCATGGTAACTAATTATTAGTTTTTCTCAGTAAAATTAAATTCACGATTGGTAGACACCTCTTCAAATATATTAGTAGAAACTAAAACCCGTCGAAGACGGGTACGACAGCTAGAAAATAAATATAATAATTAATCTATTATATAATTCCTGTGGAATTTTTATTATTTATGAAAATAATGGTTTGCGTAGAATTTTATTAGAATTTTTTTAATAATAATAATTGAAAATCATTGAATTGAGAAAAATTTTTGAAAATAATTGAATTTTGGAGAAGAATTTTATTATTTATAAAGTTAATTGAAATTTTGACGAGAATGTTTTTTTAATTTTTGAACATAATTGAATTTTTGCGAAAAATTTTATTAGTTTTGAAAATAATTGAATTTCTGCAATCATTTGTAACTTCTTCAAAATTTAATTGTTTTTACTGTTTTTAACAAAAATTCTTCTATTACACTTTGAAAAAGATTTTTAAAAAAAGAAAAACTTGTTTATTTTTTATTAAAAAAAAGGGACAAATCACCAAAAAAGGGGGACAAGATGACAAATCATTAAAAAAGGTGAAAAAGGTGACAAAATTAAAAAAAGGGGACAAAAGGGGAAAAGAGGACTGTAAGAACAAAACTTAAGTTTCTTTCACCTTAAAGATGTATCAAGTATGAAAATTTCTTTCAGATAGGCACTCCAATTTTTGGCAAAATTTTCAATATAAATCATAAACAAGTTTCATTGTCTCCACTTGAAGAAATATGGTCAATTATTAAAAAAATACTTAAAGTTAGAAAAATGAACTTGAATTAAAGTATTAATTTAACACTATTGTATTGTTTAAATTTATTTAAATCAGTTTGAAATTGAATTTTACCGGATTAAAATTAAAAAAAAAACACCTAGTCCAAAAGAGATGGAAAATTGTAATAAAAATAAAAATGTTTTCTGTAATTTGGACTTGTGATAAAAAAATATTTAAAATGTTTTACTAATACAATGATACTGATTATAAGAGGAAAGTAGAATGTATAAAAGAACTTGCATAAAATAAATCTTACCAATTACACATTTGAAATCCTCATGAATGGGAAGAACTTTTTCTATAGTGAGATCACTGTACACTTGAGGTGGAGTTCTGGATGTTATTAAAATAACTAAAGCATACGTAGGTCCTTTATTTACAACCGATAGAATTCGAGCAGCTTTTACCCAGCCTTGCATTAATGATGCTTCAGTTGCCTTTTTTAAAAATCATTCTCAATGTAAGGATATTACAGTTAATTAATTAAGAGACTTGTTAATATTTTAACGAATTTTACTTATTAATTGAAAGGATACAGTCACCACGGTTTCGCCGGAGGTGAATTTGCTCTTCACTATTGATAACTTTTCAGATAAAGGCATTGTAGTATCTTATCTGAAAAATGCTTACTTAACAAAATTTATTAATTAATAAATCGGAAAATAATTCGTTCACCCCAAGTACCTATCTTCCACGTTTTTTTTTAGAAATCACGTAAGTTAGAGGAGTGTTTTGGAAACTACGTATAATTTTATAAAAAAATTAAATTATTATTAAAAATATACATTTTAATGCGTAGTTTTTGCACGGAACTTGAAAGTAGTTTGAACGTAGTTTCCAAAACAATCAACGATAGGTTTTTAAACATAAGCACTTGGGGTGAACGAATTAAACTTTAATTTCTTATATATATAGACAATATTATATTTAGTACAAGAATCGCAGTACCTTTTGTTTTAACAAATTAATCTTTAAATTTTAAAATTCGAAAAATTAACAGTAGATAAAATATTATTAATTAAACATTAACAAATTATCAACTTTTATTAAATTCTAGAGAAGCTTATAATTACCATTATGATAATAGATAAAAAAAAATTAACAGAAAATAAATTATTTTAAAAATATTATAAATTCTTTACATGAATAAAAATGTCAATATAAATTATAATATAGGTTTTTAAGAAGAATTAAAAAAGAAAATTAATAAAAATATCTGAGGAGTAATAATTTTAAAAAATTTAGGTTTATGTAGAAAAGAAAATGACAATAGGTATTTCAGATCTTACCAGTTTTCAGGTCAACTATATTTTATCTATTAAAAGACAATTATTTTCAAGACTGATGTCAAAATCAGTTAAATAAATGACATGACAGCTAGAACAATAATACTTGTCTTTACCATATTACAGAATCTCTTAAATTTTATAATTCATGATTTCTTTTAGCTAATATTATTTAATGACAAAAAAAATGTTGTTAATATTTATAAACAAATCTTAAAGATTTGACACATTTCAAAAATAGAAAAACATAATTGCTCTAGACGCAAACACATTTCTAACCTATTAATTAGATCAGTCTAAATTAATCAAGTTATGACGTCTTAATGTAATGGTCGTTCTGCAATGTGTCTATTTAAAGGTGAGTCCAGAATATACATATTATTTCGATCATTCGATCTCGACTTCATTCAGAGTGCAGTCCCACGGCACCGTTTTGCGTTGCGTTTTGTAACTAGGCCATGAGTGTGAGAGAGATGGAGATACATGTTTGCTATATTTGCACTCATGGCCTAGTTACAAAACGCAACGCAAAACGATCCCATGGGACTCCACCCTCAGGCTGGAGTCCCATGGTAGCGTTTTGCGTTGCGTTTTGTAACTAGGCCATGAGTGTGAGAGAGATACAGATATATGTTTGCTCTATTTGCACTCATTGCCTAGTTACAAAACGCAACGCAAAACGCTGTCATGTGACTCCAGCCTCATTCATATTTTTTCTGTGTATAAGGCCGCAGTCCCATGGCAGCGTTTTGCGTTGCGTTGTAATGAGAGAGAATGCAGCAAACGTATATTTGCGTCTTTTTCTCTCCCATTACGACGCAACGCAAAACGCTGTCATGGGACTCCACCCTAAGGGTGCGATCCCATGTGAGCAGAATACGTCGACCCAAAGCAGAAAATCATGAGAGTGAAAAGAAAAGCAATATCTACCTATCTCTTTTGCACTCATGATTTTCTGCTTTCGGCCGACGTATTCTGCTCACATGGGATCGCACCCTAAGGGTACGGTCCCATGTTGAGCAGAAAACACAATGGAAAGCAGAATTTCGTGAGAGTGGAAAGGATAGTGATATCTGACTATCTCTCTTGCACTCACGAAATTCTGCTTTGCATTCTGTTTTCTGCTCAGCATGGGACTGCACCCTTAGGCTGGAGTCCCATGGCAGCGTTTTGCGTTGCGTTTTGTAACTAGGCAATGAGTGCAAATAGAGCAAACATATATCTGTATCTCTCTCACACGCATTGCCTAGTTACAAAACGCAACGCAAAACGCTGCCATGGGACTCCAGCCTTAGGCTGAAGTCCCATGGCAGCGTTTTGCGTTGCGTTTTGTAACTAGGCAATGAGTGCAAATAGAGCAAACCTATATCTGTATCTCTCTCACACTCATGGCCTAGTTACAAAACGCAACGCAAAACGCTGTCATGGGACTCCAGCCTTAGGCCGCAGTCCCATGGCAGCGTTTTGCGTTGCGTTGTAATGAGAGAGAATGCAGCAAACGTATATTTGCGTCTTTTTCTCTCCCATTACGACGCAACGCAAAACGCTGTCATGGGACTCCACCCTTATGCTGATTCCACACTTACCCAGCGCTCCGCTTTTCCATGGCGCTTTGCGTGCACTGTAAAAAAATCTGATGTAAAATAACACGAAACTTGTAATTTCACACATCAAAATTATAGGTTGTACGTAGTAAATTTATTTCGTTCCAAAAGTAGTTTTACAATTTTTAGTAATTTTACATTATACGACTATGTAATTTAATAGTTTTGTGTAAATTTACTACGTCCGACGTAGGAAAATTTGATCACTATGTCCGACGTGGTATTTTTACATTGCGTGTATTTCTACACTTTGACGTAATATTACGTCGCACGATCTGTACAATTACATGGCGAATGTAATTTTCTTATTCCTTTAAGATTTTCAAAAAATTTTCAAGTTTTTATAAATAACTCTAAAAAAGTGTATATAATGTACATTTATAGAAAGTATATGCTAATTTATAAGTAAATAATAATATAACAAAAAGTTTTGGGCTATATTTCATAAATACAAAAAGTTACGACTGAAAATATTATTTCAAAAAATATTTGCAGGTTATGTAGATTACAGTCGGCGTGTAAAAATACCACGTCGGACATAGTGACCAAACTTTCCAACGTCGGACATAGTAAATTTACAGCAGATTTTTTTACAGTGTGATATAGAAAAAGACAGAGACTATCTCTATCTTTTTCTGTCTCACGCGAAGCGCCACGAAAAAGCGGAGCGACTGGGTAAGTGTGGAATCAGCATTAATGTTTTTAGGGTATATAGGGAATTTTGATGAAAATAGTAAATTTTTGTAGTCTCTATTGGTGTCATTGCTTAAAAAGAAAAATCTACCATTAAAAGGAGGGAAATGAATGTTACTTCATCGCCGTTGTAAAAAATTGTATTTGTATTTCTTCTTGTGTGCAAATTATAAAAACAAAGTTTGTAAAATAAGAGTGTAGAAATGCCAAAAGTAAACACCTTATACAATTATTTTTTGTCACCAAAAGGTGTCAAACCGCTTAATGATAACTCGCCGGCTTCTAAGTCCAAAGAGAAACAAACAACACCGAGAAGAGAACAAAGGGAAAAAGGTATTTGGTAGTTAAATTTATAATTTATTGTTTACTAGACTATATCCGACGATATCAATAATTATAGACCAGGACGTTAAATTTATTGCCCTATTAAAAAGGATTATTTTATAATACTACCTTTGTTTGTCACACGTACTTGCTATACTACTTCGTGCTTGCATGTAATACACGCGTATACTTTGCACGTGTTTCAACAAAGACTTCTAATTTATGAATACTCAGAAATTTTACACTTTAATTATAATCAAATACAGTGTTATTTTTTATCCTTATTTTTTATTTATAATAAAATTTAAATTTCTCCATAATTAGTTTTACTTCTTTCAAATGTTCACTGTTGTTAAAACGGGATTTACTGTAATAATTTATTTATTTTTTCCTAAATTATTTTATGATTTTAATACTAATTGACACTTATATCTATTGCCATTACATATTTTCTATTGAATTGTACTATTTGTATATTTTTCTAAGATATGTTTTTGGTTATGTATTTAAGAAAAATTCTTTTAAAATAACTCGAATTTTCCTTGTAAACAAAGATATCCAAATTAATACGACATAGATTCATTAATTTTTTTTAACAATATTCAGTACTCTATTTATTTCAATTATTTATTTATTTATGATTATTGTTAATATTATTAAATCTTTTTTGATTTATTGTTAATAATTTATTTTTATATATTTTTATTTAACAACTATTTATTTTTCTAATTTTCTTCTTATCGTAATTGCTTATTTTTCATAAAAATCATTAACACAATTTTGTTTTTTCGACTTATTTTCAAAAATTGCAACAAAATAACACATTTTTTTAAGTATAAAATGCAACTTTATTTCGATTATTATATCGGAGTGTCTATTCGGCCAGTTAACTGTCAAAATAAGGTGGTTTAAATATTCTGCCAGTGAACTGGCAGAATAAGTTAGTTTTCTTATTTGGCCAGTGTATCTAAAAAAATATACAATTAATATCTAAATCACGCCAAATAGAAAAGGGACTCTATTTGGCCAGTCAAAATAAACAGTTTTTAATATTTCAATATACGGGCAAGCTGACATTTTGATAAATTAAAAATACAACTAAATATATGAAGTAGAGACAGTTTAACAAAAAGGGTGCAAAAGGTGAAAAAGTAAAATCATGGAAATGACAGAAAACAAATTTTTTTGGTGGGTAAATTAAGAAAATTGAGCCATTTTTCGATTTATTTTCAAAAATTGCAACAAAATACCTCATCTTTTAGTATAAAATGCAAATTATTTTCATTTTATAGTGCGAAAAAAACTATAACAAATTTTTCAAAAATTATTCTTGAATCATTTTTTAAAATAATTGAAATTTTGTAAAATTTAATTGAAAACAATTATTTCTTTCAAGTATTTTGTTACAATTTTTGAAAATTAACTTTTGTAGAATTTTCATTGTAAATTTTGAAAATAATTGAATTATCATTTTAATAAAAATTCTTTAAATGTAAATTTAAAAATGAAAATTAACGAAAAATAGCTTCTAATTTTTTAAAATTCAATATTTTCAATTAAGTACATATTTCTGAAAATTCAGATATATACAAAAAGTAATAACATTTTAGAATTATTTTTAACATTTTGGAGAAAAAAATCATGTTCAAAATTTTTAATTAAAATTCCATAAGAAATTAATTAGTTTTTTTAAAATTATAGAAAAATTCTTTTAAGAAATTCAATTATTTTCGAAAAATTACATTAAAATATTATTAAAAACTAATTCTTCGAATTGTTTTATCATAATTTTTTAAGATTCATATATTTTCGAACAAAATAAATAAAAATTGATAAAAATTTACTGTTTTAGATTTTGTTTAAATTTCTAAGAAATAATGGTCATATTTATAAATAAAATTCTTCAAAATTTCGATTATTTTTATTTAGATACTTTTTTCAAAACTTCAATTATTTTTCGAAGATTTTACCAAATTCCAATTCTTTGGAAATGTTTCAATTGTATATAATTTAAAAAACCATTATCTTTCAAAAATTATTTTAAAATATTTAAAAAAAATTAATTGTAAGAATTTCTTTGTTATAATTTTTAGAAAATATTATACCTTAATAACTTAAGAAAAAAACATTGACAATTACAATTATTATAAAAAATTTAATTTTTGTAGGTGAATAATTGAATTCTAATAGAACTTTCGAAAAATTATTTAAAATAATTGATGTAGAGATGAAGTTTGGTAGTAAATTATAGAAAATAATTGAATTTAGAAAGGGTTATAATTGTTATTTTTGGAAATCATTAAAATTCATAAATTTTACTCATTTTCCGTAAACTTTCATATTTTCCTGTAAAAAAAAATTTGTCAGGGAATATAATTTTAATGTCAGTAAATTGTCAGGAAAATTGATAATCTGAAACTTGTGACCACCCTGACAATATATTAGATATTTTTTGGCCTATTGAAAGCTATAATTTAAATAACTTTACCGATTTAGGAAGAAATTATAAGAAAACTTCGTGAGACACAAATTTTAGGAAATGTGTGCAGAATAAAAACAAATTGCTTTTTTTCCTTCAAATGTGCATCAAGAACTTCTTTTATACTAACAACAAAAATAACAAAAAGCATAAGGTGCTCCTACTTTATACAAAAATTTTAAACGAAATGTCTATCTTGGAGCTTTTTCTCCTATATATTTATTATTTTTATAATATTAATTATAATATAAATTTCAACAAAAATTTCTTAATAAGTTTAGTTTATGTCACACTTAAAGCAGAACCAATTTACCGGTTTTGGAATTTTTTTTAAAATTTGTACAAGATTGGTTAAAATGTTAAAAAAACAAACAACCATCCAACATATATTTATACCTGATGGGCGCTTTATTAATACAATTGCCAAATAGTAAAACCATCTTATTTTGCCAGTGCACTGGCAGAATTATTTAGTCATATTATTCTGCCAGCTTTTCCCTTTAAGGGTGGCCACCGGACCTTGAAACCTTGAAAACCTTGAAATGGACGTGAATTTTGTCAATCCTTGAAAAAACCGTGAATTGGACTTGAATTTTTTTATAAACCTTGAATTTTAGTATTATATATATTATTAAAATTGAAAAAAAAATTTTGTGGACATTTTAAAAATTTTATTTTTTAAAAAAATTAAAATTTTTCAGGGTTGCCATAGGTTAGGGAAATCAGGGAAATGTCAGGGAAAGTAAAATTGTTCAGGGAAGTTAGGGAAAAGTCAGGGATTTTTATTTTAGTAACTGGAAAAAATTGAATTTTGGAGAAGTTACAAATTATTGCAGAAATTCAATTATTTTCAAAAGTAATAAAATTCTTCGCAGAAATTCAATTCTGTTCAAAAATTAAAAAAATTCTCATAGAAATTAAATTATCTTTAAAAATAATAAAATTCTTCTCCAAACTTCAATTATTTTCAAAAATTCTTTGCAAAATTTCAATTATTTTCAAAAAAATTTTCTCAATTCAATGATTTTCAATATCTACAGTTTTAATAAAATTTTTCAAAAGAATTAAATTATTTAAAAAAAATTTTTTGATAAAATTCTAAGCAAACTTCGCAATAATTCAATTATTTTCATAAATAATAACATTTTTTACAAAAATTCAATTATTTTCATGAATAATAAAATTCATCATAGAATTTCAATTATTTTTAATACAATTTTAATTGAATTCTTCTAAAAATTTAATTATTCTTGAAAATTTTATTAAAATTTCTCGAAAAAAATCAAATTTGTTGATAAAATTCTTTATGATAATTTAGTTTAGAAAAACATTCATTTATTCAATAAATTATTTATTTTTGTATTTAAATAATTGAATTCTTGTAGAATTTTCCAATAAAAATTGATTTGAAAATGAATATTAGTTAAAATTTTAGATAATAATTGAATGTTATAAGCATTATAGCATGAATTTTTAAAAATACATAATTGAATTCTTTCGAAGAATTTTAACAAAATTTTTGAAAATAGTTACATTTTTAAAAGAATTTACAATTGTATTTAAAATAATTGAAATCCTGTGAAGAATTTTATTAATTTATGGAAATAATTGAATTCCTGCATCGAATTTTATTACATTTTTTTAAATAATTGAATTCTTTTGAGAACTTTTATTAAAAAAGTAGATTGTGAAAATATTTGAATTTCAACGAAGAATTTCATTATATTCGTGAAATGCAATTAAATTCTTACAAAAAATTTAAGAGAATAATTCCATTTTTCTAGGAATTTACTTTAAATTGTATTATAAATAATTGAAATCCTCAGAAAAATTTTATAATTTATGAAAATAATGGAATTCTTACAACGAATTTTATCAATTTTTTTTAAATAATTGAATTCATGTGAAAAATTTTATTACTTGTAAAAATAATTGAATTTCAGCAACTAATTTTATTACATTTTATTTAAATAATTATATTCTTTTGAAAACTTGTATTAAAAATGTAAATTTTGAAAATTTTGAATTTCAGCGAAGAATTTCATTATTTGTAAAATGTACCTAATTTAATTCTTGCAAAAAACTTTTCAAGATAATTTTATTTTTCGAGAAATTTATTTAAAATTGTATTAAAAATAATTGAAACCATGTGAAGAATTTTATTATTTTTGAAAATAATTGAATTCTTGCAACGAATTTTATTGATGTTTGCGAATAATTTTACAATTTAAGAAATTCGAAAGTAAATGTAATAGAATGTTTTTTTTTTAATATCTAATAATTTTTAAAGTGAATCAGAATATTCTTTATGTTCAGGGAAAAAGTGAAAATTTTGTCTGGAAATCAGGGAAAAGTCAGGGAAAATAAAATTAAATATTTGTGGCAACCCTGAATTTTTTAAAATCTATACGATTCATTGTTCAGAATCGTAAGAAAAGCCTATAAAAAATTCGGCAATAAAAAATGATAAAAAATGTGGAAATAGTTAAATTTTTTAAGTATTACTACAGTAAAATTTGAGCCAACAAAA